GATGTTTACCTGGTCCGGCCTGAAAGTTCGCTCACCTCTTGCAGCATTGTACAGGGGATCAGTGACGACAGTGGGGTATTATTAGAAGTGGAATGGGAAGAAAAAATCCGTGAACCGCAGGTAGAAAGATTAGTCCCCATGTTCCATAAAACAAATGTTTTAGGATTACAAAACTTTCTTCGGGAAAAGTTTAAATTATGGGCTGGAAATGGTAGTAGCGTGGAAGAGATATGGGAAAGTTATAAGGATATAGTCTTCGAGGGTATCGATCGTTTTGTACCTCAAAGAATCCTGAGTAAAAATCCGGATCCGGAATACTATACCAAGGAAGTGAAACTTCTGTAAGTAAAGGTGAGGAGGGTGTGTAAAAGGAGAAAATCTGGAGGGCAGGACCAAGCGGAGCTGAAACGGTTATCCAATTAGTTACTGATAGTGAAAAATAAGGCTCAGGAGACATTCTTAACTTCGGTCTTGCAAAGCGAAGGGAGAAGCTGGACAGAGTTTTACAAATATGTTAAAAGACCTAAGGGTAATAGAGAAACTATTCCTGCAATCAAGGGCGTTAAAGGAAACCTCATCACAGATCAAATAGAAAAGGCCAACTCCCTGAACGCTTATTATGCGTCGATATTCAGTTGCGAACGGATAAATTCGCTAAATAACCATCTAATCCAATCAACAGATTCAGATAAAACGTTTACCATTAGTATCAATATCATAAGGAAACGGATAGCACCATACGTTTCCCTCCCCAATTAATGGTGTTTGTTGGTGATCTTTTCCTTTTGGCTGCCTTCCTTTTCCTAACTATTAACATTTTCAAGAACGCACTTTCCGCGAGCAAAAGGTCACGTTTACCTGACCAAGCCATCGTGGATACTAATGTCTTGCCCCCCCCACGCGTCTCTCACGCAGGACACAACAAGCGATTATCTCGCTTCATATGACACCCGAGGCTGCTTATACAGCTCGCATAGCTCGCTTCTTATCGCTCACGAAGGACATTGTCCCACTGTATTTGGTACGGCCACTCGAACGTTGATAATTCACGTAACCACTGATAGATGCCACAACGAACCACTGTTAACCGCCACAGAATAGTTCATACCTCCAATGATAGATAGCCGCAACAGCAGTTTGAAATGTCACCGATATGTTGCAGCACCAATAATTGTCACAGAAAACTGTAGGCTGGACATCTTTGTGATTTTGAAGTTCGTGGAAGAAAAGGATAGAACGATCAGAGATTCGAAAGAGAAGCAGGTTAGGAAGCATCTATCCCAGTGGCAATACTTTGCAACTCACTGTCTTTTGTTGACCTAGGAGGTGCGTTAGTTTTTATTCTACATGTAAGCAACTGACGCAATTAAAATGTAATTTGATTCTTGGATGCAGAACATGGCAGCACGATGTGCCACTACGTCACCGTAGATGATCGTCTTCTCAACTGAGGACTTCGGGCATCCATCGCTTTGGTATTGCGGATTGTGAATGCAAAGCAAAGCTGTTAACTATACACCATGTAGGCGCTTGGTGGGATCTCAGATTGTAAGAAATCAAAAAGTACGACAATACATTTACTTCCAATGACATTACTTATAGATGATATTTAATTAAAACCTGCTATGCCATACTCGAATAATAAATAACATGTACGCAGACAACAACCTGGGAGATGATCTCACCAAGGCATACCATGTTTCCAAGTCCATTGGCGTTATCATGTATACACAGAGATTAATTCCTAATGGAGTCGTCACCTTCCCATCTCACGATTTTCACAACCCGTTACGTTGGTATTAACGTCTGAAGGATCTAAAAAGGAAGATTATTGACTAAGAACCAACAGCGTAAAGTCCATAACAAGTGTAACGGGTCTGAAAACATCCATGATGACAATATCTCGGAAAATGATGTCATCAGGGCAACCAACATGTAATTTGTAGGACTGCCGATAGATGGCAGCACGCTAAAACAAATGTTGAAGGGATAATAACACCTTTAAGGATTAAAATATTCTTAAAATTATTTTTAAACACTCAATATTTAGCCTTCTAATTGTGATATGTACTAGTCCTCGCAAGAATGATACCAATGCAAATTCCAATCCTTAATCAATTTTAAATCTGAACAGTGGAGCCAATTTGGGATTATAAATATGGCTCACTTGACAGTAAAGTGCTCATTAGTAGAAGTGTAATATTGTCATATAATGTTGCAATCATAGGCTTATTCTCAGTACTTATTCACCGGTTCATTCCTGTTTTCTTTAAAATTGATGTAACACTAAAATAGTGTGCGAATGTAAACGTGTTGCTTATTATATATATATTTGTAGGTTGGTGTCCCTGATTTCACTAGTACGCCATTCTAGATAACGGTGTTTGTAGTTAATGGAGGCGATTGGTAGTAAATAAATTTGTAGATTGTGTGCAAGAGAAGATGAGTTATGTATAGACGTTTATGGCGAGGATGGAATAAAACACAGTATAGCGAAGAAAATCAGGCTGTGTTTACCTATTGCAGTAAGTTATGTAGGGAGTATCTATGTATAGAGATTTACGTTATGCGGGTTTGAAAGTTCTTTGGCATACTTGTCGAATGTTAAGTACACACAGTTTGAGGGAAACGTAACATGATATGATGCCATTATAAACAAGAATACAGAACTGTGTTAAAAGAATAAACACTGGTACGCCTTAATGGATGGTCACATGTAACTGTGTGAGAATCTGAGTTTCACTTTTAATTACATGACATGACATGAAAGTGTAATCCATATAAGCAGCTTTGATTTAAGATTATGCTTTCAGCTATTACACCTTACACAGACCATTATAATCTATTTAAGTGATCTCTATATTGAAAGGTATACCCAAAAATTGTTATTTGGTTTTGACACAAGTTGTTGAGAATGCAAGACTCATGACTGCAGGTAAAATTAAACTTATGTATAAGCTAAATTACAATACATTGTGAAATCTGAACTATTATTAACACATAACTTCTGCCCTTACAGTCTGTTCAGATTAACTGGTTTTCAACCAGTTTGTCATTGTAATGAAGTAGGGAGGTGTGCCTTGCACTTTTTTACATTTTGGAATTTAATATAGCCATGGACTGTGGTTTATGAGAGGTTTGATATTTCCATCTAACTACTGGGGGTAGACTGCAAACAGGCTACAGGTTTTACCCATCATATTCCTTTTATTTTATTTATGTAATTATAATATTTTTTAGTCTCACAAGTAAACAGATCTGGCATAGCTTAGTCAGTATAGTGACTGGGTACGGACTGGGTGACTGAGGTTTGATCCCCGATGGAGGCAGAGGATTTTTCCTCTAGCTTCTGCATCCAGACCATTTGTGGGGCCCACCCAGTCTCCTATCTATGGGTACCGGGGGCCTTTCCCAGGGGGAAAGCACAGCCGGGGCATGATGCTGACCACTCGCCCCCATCTAGTGCTTGATATAGCACTGAAATAGTGTGCGAATATAAACGCGTTGCTTATTATATATATTTGTAGGTTGGTGTCCCTGATTTCATAAGAACACCATTCTAGATAATGGTGTTTACAGATAAAGGAGGCTCTGGATATAAAATCAATTTGTAGATTGTGTGCAAGAGAAGATGAATTATATATAGAAGTTTTTGGTAAGGATGGGATAAAACACAGTATAGCGAACAAAATCTCAACACCTTTATGTGATGCCTGGAGAAAACTCTGCAGAATATACGGAAAGAGCAGAAGTTCCTCTATACCTGGCCTTTCAGTTTGGGGTAACATGATAACATCCCCTTGTGAAGTTGCTGAAACCCTTGAATCTTCATTTGCTTCCATTAGCAGCTGTTTGTGTAAAATCTTATAGCAAGTGGTTAACCACCAATTTACATGGACAATGGAACACCATGGCCACCTATCTAATTCCTAGTGTTCATTCAGATGTCATCACTCAAGAGTACATCACTTGTTCCAAACTGCAGCATTTTACATTATATGTACATAATATACGGGGTGGTTATAAATTATTGAGCGCATTTCAGAGATGAATATAAAAAGAATAAAGTAAAGTACTCACGTGTATGTTGTTTTCTTTAATAGGCCATTTCAAATAGTTTTATTTACAACATTTTACCACTTTCATAAACTTTCACATGAGCTGCATGTGTGGCACATAAAATATCCAGGTGGTATTCAATTCCACGCCATGTCTTACGGAGCATTTCGGCAGTTATTCCTCCAATGACTCCACTGATTCGTCTTTTTAGTTCACCAATGTCGCGAACATTCCTTGTGTACACCCTGACTTTGACAAACCCCCAAAGAAAAAATCCAGGGGTGTAATGTCGGGGGATTGAGGTGGCCAGGGAATCGGTCCTCCGCGGCCAATCCAACATTCAGGAAATTTTTCCTGTAGGAAGTTCCAAACAATTAAACCCCAGTGTAGAGGTGCGCCATCTTGCTGGAAGTAAACGTTCAGTTGTCAGTGTTCCATTTGTGGTATTGCATAACCCTCTTAACATGTTGAGGTATGTAGTGCTAGTCACTGTAGGCTTGATGAAGAAGAATGGTCAGATCGCTTCATCTACAGCCAATGCGCCCCACACATTAACTTTTGGGCTATCTCGTTCTTTCTCTCGAACTTCATGAGGGTTTTCTGCACCCCAAATCTGACAATTGTGACAGTTAACATAACCGGAAACGTGGAAGGTTGCTTCATCAGAGAAGATTATTTTTCTAAGAAAGAGTTATCTTGGTCGATTTCATCAAGGATGCACACGGCGAAATATAACGACGTGGTTTATCAACTTGTACTGCATGCAACAACTGGATTTTGTATGCATGAAGTTTTAAGAGCTTATGCATAACCTTCATAACTGTCGATCGAGGTATTTCCAATTCCAAACTCGCGTGACGAGTTGATTTACCTGGGCTTCTCGTAAAAGCTTCTCTCACTCAATCACCAACGTCTTCGGAGACCTGTGGTCTGCCAGCACCTTTCCTATGTTCTATCTCATAAACCACAGTCCATGGCTATATTAAATCCCGAAATGTAAAAAAATGCAAGGCACGCCTCCCTACTTCATTACAATGACAAACTGGTTGAAAACCAGTTAATCTGAACAGACTGTAAGGGCAGAAGTTATGTGTTAATAATAGTTCAGATTTCACCATGTATTGTAATTTAGCTTATACATAAGTTTAATTTTACCTGCAGTCATGAGTCTTGCATTCTCAACAACTTGTGTCAAAACCAAATAACAATTTTTGGGTATACCTTTCAATATAGAGATCACTTAAATAGATTATAATGGTCTGTGTAAGGTGTAATAGCTGAAAGCATAATCTTAAATCAAAGCTGCTTATATGGATTACACTTTCATGTCATGTCATGTAATTAAAAGTGAAACTCAGATTCTCACACAGTTACATGTGACCATCCATTAAGGCATACCAGTGTTTATTCTTTTAACACAGTTCAGTATTCTTGTTTATAATAACATCATATCATGTTACATTTCCCTCTAAATGTCTGTACTTAACACTCGACAAGTATGCCAAAGAACTTTCAAACCCGCATAACGTAAATCTCTATACATAGATACTCCCTACATAACTTACTGCAATAGGCAAACACAGCCTGATTTTGTTTGCTATACTGTGTTTTATTCCATCCTCGCCATAAACGTCTATACATAACTCATCTTCTCTTGCACACAATCTACAAATTTATTTACTACCAATCGCCTCCATTAACTACAAACACCGTTATCTAGAATGGCGTACTAGTGAAATCAGGGACACCAACCTACAAATATATATATAATAAGCAACACGTTTACATTCGCACACTATTTTAGTGTTACATCAATTTGTGGCCTCCATTATCTGCAAACACCGTTATCTAGAATGGCGTTCTTGTGAAATTAGTGACACCAACCTACAAATATATATAATAAGCAACGTGTTTACTTTCGCACACTATTTTAGTGCTATATCAATTGTGATTATATAACCTTCCTGCATGATTAGTTAGAAAGAAAATCTTGCAGACCTAACTCCATATGCGATGATCTTATTTTGGCACGACTGTCTGACCGTCTATCCAGCGCATACTTTTGTTCTATTGACATGGTAATTATTTTAATATTTGCCCATTATAATGGTCTCTAGGAAAATTTTTAAAGAAAACAGTAATCAAACATTGAATAGGTACTTAATGAAACAGTTATTTATATTTTGAAATGTGGTAAGCCATTTTTGAGAAGCTTGGAAAGTATTGTTTGAAAATGTCTGTTTGGGTGTTTGAAGAGAGCCTTATACTCGTATCTATGCAGTCTCAGACAGTAAGAAAGTATTTTAGTCCATTATTTCAGATTAATTGAAGGAGACATTGTTGTTACTGTTATTAAATTAAATTAAATACTGATTTTATCTTTTTTTATTACTGATATGCTTAGACAAGCATATGTCTGTCTGTAGCCTGACAGCAGAAGTCGAGTGGGAAAATGAATTGATAGTGGTTTGGTAATTATTTTATCAGATTAATTTTAAATTTCTGACTGATGTCTCCTCCCTGGAGGATTATCTTATGAATTGTATTCAGGATGTGTGAATGCACAGAATACCATCAAGAGGCTGCTGAAGAATTTCACCCAAACTGAGTCAGCAAAAGATAATTTACCTGTTGAAACTCCACTTCATCAGGTCCAAAATGATGTAAGTTTAATCTGCTACACATGAACTTTTCTCAAATTTTTGTTCTGTATGTTAGGTTCTAGGCAAAGCATAACTACTTATGCAGTATTCTCCCTTTATAGTTCAGGGAAAAGTATTTTTTATTGAAATGCTTTTTGTATCTTTATTTTACCACAGTTTATTTATTTATTTTGTGTGAAGATAGGAAAGCTTTGCCTAGAACCCTAGACATTATGTAACGTACCGGGTGGTTATAAGTTATTGAGCGCATTTCGTAGATGAATTAAAAAAAGAACACAATAACGTAGCGACCTCTGTTTTGTTTCAGATGATAGAGCAGCTAAAAGAGTTTGTTGCTGACCTTGGCCGACCATAGGTGGCGCGGTTGGGTACCAAAATGGCTACCATGCAGGAGAAAGCGATGCACATTCTGTGGTTTCATGAAAACAAATCTGTAATAACTGTTCAAAGACGGTTTTGTTCAGAGTACAACTATGATCCTCCTAGTAAGAACTCCATAAATCGTTGGTATCAGCAATTTAAGGATACAGGAAATGTAGAACATAGGAAAGGTGCTGGCAGACCACAGGTCTCCGAAGACGTTGGTGATTGAGTGAGAGAAGCTTTTACGAGAAGCCCAGGTAAATCAACTCGTCACGCGAGTTTGGAATTGGGAATACCTCGATTGACAGTTATGAAGGTTATGCATAAGCTCTTAAAACTTCATGCATACAAAATCCAGTTGTTGCATGCAGTACAAGTTGATAAACCACGTCGTTATATTTCGCCGTGTGCATCCTTGATGAAATCGACCAAGATAACTCTTTCTTAGAAAAATAATCTTCTCTGATGAAGCAACCTTCCACGTTTCCGGTTATGTTAACTGTCACAATTGTCAGATTTGGGGTGCAGAAAACCCTCATGAAGTTCGAGAGAAAGAACGAGATAGCCCAAAAGTTAATGTGTGGGGCGCATTGGCTGTAGATGAAGCGATCTGACCATTCTTCTTCATCAAGCCTACAGTGACTAGCACTACATACCTCAACATGTTAAGAGGGTTATGCAATACCACAAATGGAACACTGACAACTGAACGTTTACTTCCAGCAAGATGGCGCACCTCTACACTGGGGTTTAATTGTTTGGAACTTCCTACAGGAAAAATTTCCTGAATGTTGGATTGGCCGCGGAGGACCGATTCCCTGGCCACCTCAATCCCCCGACATTACACCCCTGGATTTTTTCTTTGGGGGTTTGTCAAAGTCAGGGTGTACACAAGGAATGTTCGCGACATTGGTGAACTAAAAAGACGAATCAGTGGAGTCATTGGAGGAATAACTGCCGAAATGCTCCGTAAGACATGGCGTGGAATTGAATACCACCTGGATATTTTATGTGCCACACATGCAGCTCATGTGAAAGTTTATGAAAGTGGTAAAATGTTGTAAATAAAACTATTTGAAATGGCCTATTAAAGAAAACAACATACACGTGAGTACTTTACTTTATTCTTTTTATATTCATCTCTGAAATGCGCTCAATAATTTATAACCACCCCGTATATTATGTACATATAATGTAAAATGCTGCAGTTTGGAACAGGTGATGTACTCTTGAGTGATGACATCTGAATGAACACTAGGAATTAGATAGGTGGCCATGGTGTTCCATTGTCCATGTAAATTGGTGGTTAACCACTTGCTCTAAGATTTTACACAAACAGCTGCTGATGGAAGCAAATGAAGATTCAAGGGTTTCAGCAACTTCACAAGGGGATCTTATCATATTACCCCAAACTGAAAGGCCAGGTATAGAGGAACTTCTGCTCTTACCGTACATTCTGCAGAGTTTTCTCCAGGCAAAATGTGAAGGTGTTGAACTTGATGGACAGGAAACTTATGCTTCCCATGATATTCATTTCACATCATGAGCAATAGAGCAAGCTGTTGCTCATAGCCATTTAAAATTGACCAAATGATAACTTTTTCATTTCTAGATTTGATCAGGAGCTATAGTATATTACCTAAATATAAGTTTTCATAAGAAAGCTTGATGTTATGCGTTTGCAAGGTGTTTTCACGTGAAACAGCTGAAAATCTCTTCTAGTCATATTACACTATCGTAGAGTCTAGAATGAGTACATAGTTTTTCATCATTGTTATCTGATAACTCTGCATACTTACGACTAGTGAAAGTTTTGTTCTGAACACATTATTGTACAATGTACAGATTGGATGCAACAAAGACCATAAAATTAAACACACCCGGGCTTTGATTAGTTAAAGAAACTGTGTTGATAATATTCTGTGAAATACTGAAGTCTGTCTGACTTTGGTGACAGCCCAGCATCTGAGGCCAATCTTGACTAAATATGTGCTGAAGTTTTGAAACTTTTTTACCTGCTGTGTATGGTGTGTTTCTGTGCATGTGCATAAATGGTATATCTGGCATGTGCTTGCAATAGATGCTACATGATACAACTCATAATTTGACAAAGTTTTTAATAATTTTTTCAGGCAAATGTTATTGCACAGCAGCAGCCTACTGTGAGCTGGAGTAAACCTTTCATGAAATTTGGCAAAACTATAGTAAAACTGCAAGATATATCCAGTAAAAAGAGAAGTAATGAACCAAGACCAAAAGTAAGATGATTTGAAACTGAAAGACATCATAACCTGAATTTGGAATGTGGTAGTGGTGATTCTAATGGTATTGGTTCCACATTGCCATCTGTGTCATTAGATGATGATGAAAGTACACAGACCCCTCAACAGGTTTCCCAGTTTGGTCCACCAACTGAAGATTTGTCACAATATAATGTGGTTCCATCCAGTGAGATGTATGTACAACGGCTTCAGAACAGCAGCAGTTTAGGGCAACTGGTATAGTGTCTAAAGCATCATCAGTTGGCCGGCATGTAGTGAATATTCCTACAAGTACAGGATCAAAGATTTTAGGAACTTTTCCTAGTGTAGGAACCCAGTCAGAATCTGATGTGGCAGTGACATTGAATGAGCAGTCAGTATGTGATTCCTTCATCTGTGGATTTTGCTGTACCAGTTATTATTCAACAACCAATGCATAGCGCTGTAAGACGGCCACAGATGTACATCCCAAATTCTGTAAACAGTTTATCAACAGGCAAGCAGGATGGTTCAATTGCTGACAGCTTGAATTCTGCCAATCAGTTGAAAAATCAAACGTCACTGTTACTGCAAAAGATGGTGGAAGTTAAATTGCAGGAAATTAAACATGTAGAGAAACAAACACCAAAACATTAGTTCAATCAGCTTTAGCAGGCAAAACAGCATCTGCTATATTCTTTACCAGAGAATGGAGAAACTACTCTGTGTGCAATTGCACCTGTTACAAAAGCCAAGACTCAAGATATGATTTCAAAACCAGGTCTTAGTTTCATGTTCCCTGCTGACAGTGTACGACTAAACCGACCCCCAAATGTATTAATTACAACTTCCAGTAATGTGGTGCCTTCTCAACAACAAAACACATGGTCTCTGACCACTTCACCTTCTTCAGTAGGGAAGATTAAAACCAAAACAGCTTCATTGTTACAATTACCTGCTGAAGCCAGAAAAATAGCACATGTGGCTCCAAGACTGTCAGCAAAAAGTTGCCAGATTAATGTTTCTAATGCCATTCAAAACAGTTCATCTTTTGGTGTTAATCAGCAGGTAGTGGATTTGGAGAGGGAGCGTCTGTCCTCAAGGTATGGCAACAAGAACATTTAACTAGTAAATTATTTGATGATGTTGTGTGCAAGGAACCCTGTATTTACAATTTAATGTTGAAGATGAAAAATTTCAGGAAATGCGTAACTCATAAACTTTATACAGAGTTGACCAAATCTAAGGTAACCACATTTTAACAGGACTTGTCACACATCTTTTGCCCACCAGAGCGCATTGTATTCTTGGGGAATGTCCTACAGACTTCCACTTGCAAGCCAAATTAACAAATCTTGCGGCTGTTCTATTTTAATGCATCTTGGTACAAGTTCCTCATCATCTTTGTTTTGACAGAGTAATGCTGTGATAACAAAGACTTACTTTGTGTCCGTGCTGTTAGCTGACACAGGTCACTACTTTTTAATTACTGATGGTGTGCAATATTTTGTAGGCAAAACACATGATAACTACGATAAAATTAATAATCGTAGTTATCATGTTCTTTTGTTGTATTTGGTTTTAGCAGTGTATTTTGTATGTGCGTCCAAACAGTGAATTGCAGAATGTTAGGCATAGAGGAGAGTTCTTATTGGGATTTTAAGAGTAAGTGCCTTCTTAAAGCTGAGATGGAAATTACAGGGTCATTTTTAAAACGGAAGACTTGTGCTTTCAGGAACTGAAGTAAATCGCATATTTGTAAGGATTATTTGTGGCTACATTTAGCGTAATGTTATCCATTGGTATATGCATCACATTGTTGTGCTTTCTCCAATTTAAGGTTGATGAGACATTTACACTTTGTTTCACTGTTATTAGTTTTTTACTGTGTTAAAGTTGTTAGTTTCTTCCATATTTAATTATGCCTTTCTTGGGGTTCTTTAAAACATTACTTTTAATAAGATTGAAATATTTCATTCATTAAGATAATTTGTACTTTATTATTTGCAGTGCTTCCTGTTCATGCCCAGGGTGTTTCTTCAGAAGATAATGGAACAGCTGCTACCAGTGCAGTTAATGGCACTGTGACAGGAGCCACAGTTGCAAGAATTCCCACTGCAGGTAGTTCAGTCAGTTTGGGAGCCCCTACTACACTCTCCAGGGTTACACCAACAACAACAACATCCTTAATGGGTGTTGGATTGCATGCTCTGTCTCCTACTGTTACGACTTTAAGTACTGATACAGGAGTGCCTACTGAATCCAAACTGGAAATAATGATCCCGGTTTCCTCTTACATTATCAGTTTGCTAACACCCACTGTTTCAGCTTTACCCACAAGTGTGCAGACTTCAACTTTGAATACGGTAACTTCCATCACATCTTCTGCTAACTGTATGCCAATTTCAGATTCAGCGTCTGTGTTACTCGCAGTTAAAGACGTCCCTGATGACTACTGAGAAAACTTCCAGGAATGCAAATGTCACTACAGTCTGCTCTCCCACTGCCACCTCTGCAATTGCTGCCAGCAACATGACTGCTGATGATCACTGAAGAAAATACGAGACATCTTTGTCAGTACTGCAACAAAACTTTTCCAGAAAACATCATTGTACATCACAGAAAACTTCATTTCAGATAGTGTTTCTTCATTTGCATAGCATGTGGTAAAAACTTCCGCACAGAAGTTGGTTTAGAGAAACTTAGGTGTGAAGGCTCTGCGGATTAAGCAAGATGATTTTCTCGCTGCAAAGAGTGTGTGACGTACATGCCTTTCCTTTGTTCTTCTCTTTTATGAAAAATATGTGGACACTCTTATTTCAGAATTGGCAATTTGTTTATACAAGTTACTAGCTGTGAACAGATGGTATTATGATGTAGCATTTATATTTAACTGCATTTACTTCATTAGTCATTCTGAAACTCTTATACTGTGTAACACTTTCTTAAAGTAAAATACCACTTGCATCCTATAGATGTAAAGTTAAAACTTTCAAATAAAGCTCTTAATTTGAGACTGCATTAAGTAAATTTGAATAGAGAGTAATATCTAAGTTAAACTAGCACTTTGTAAAGTAAAACTTGGTTCATGCGAAGTCTTTCAGTGTAATGGGCTACAGTTCTGAGCTTTGCATGTGCAGCATTATAAAAGTATATTTCTATTATAAAATGACAAACAGTTCCTGAATTAGGACCATGTGCTTACCACCACTGTCAGCTGGGAGGTACTTGCGCATAATTTTTGTTTTTATTTTCATGTGATTATGGAGCCCTCATACTGTCAAAAGGAATGTTTGTCCCAGTCCATTCCTGTTCAGCAATGGACTGGAGAAAGTCCAGTTTGAAAAGTATGTTTTAAAGAGAATGAGAAGTGTCATTCCATTTTATGATGTATGATATGAAAATATTTTATGAAATGTTTTACAGAAGATAATCAGTGCCGTTATTTTTCCAATCATGGGTTAAGCATTTGGTCTTGTAAATTTTTATACACGGTTTACTTGTTAACTAATTGATATTACTTCGGGCAGCACAGTGTAAACAAATCGTGTATCACCTCACTTTCTGTTGTAAAGTACAATTGTTTTATTATTCGGCCGAGTAAGATCTGTCTGTGTGTGTCTGTCTACGCCATTTACTACATAATCAGAGTGCGATTCCCAGCAGGGGCAGACCAGCTCTGGGGCCCACATGGCTTCCTACATAGTTCATACTGAAAGCTCTTTCCCCTCGGATAAATCATTCGCCAGTACTGGCGTCCTACAAACATGGCACACTAATCTAACCGTAAGATCCATGAAACGCAGGAACTTCCATAACAGCGGAGTGGCTATCATGTCGTCAAGAAAGCTCTGATTAGCATGAAAGATAAGGAAAGAAAAGAAAAGTAGTTACATCAACCAACTACTTTACCACTATTAATGTCTGTAGTTATTTACTTTGCCGAACGCATTTCGGCTCCATGAAACATTCTAATTATTGCATCGTAAAACGTCAATAACATAGATCAGGGGTGGCCAACCCGCGGGCCGCATGTGGCCCGCCTTGAACATTTTTCCGGCCTGCGAGATTCATCACACTTTTACAAAATATATTTATTTTATAATGGCCAAAGTAGTGAAAACCAATGTATTAAAAAAAATACTTATTTGTGCATCCATATATTCAAAAATTATCTGTCGAAATTATGAGAAAAAATTAACTTTGATTTTAAAATAATATTCTTGCGAATATATGACAGATATTGCCTGTTTTATTCATGAGTTTACAGTTATGAGTTCGCAGAATAATTAATATGGGGATATATAATTTTATATGTGGCCCGCGGAGTTATGATGCATTTCCAAAGTGGCCCGAAAGATCATTTGGGTTGGCCACCCCTGACATAGATATTGAAATTAACCGTCGGACGCCCGGAGAGAATAGTTTGTCCCATAAACGAATTCAGATCATTGCCATTCGAGGTTTTTACGTCATAGTTTTCTTTTGATTATTTTTAAGGGGGCACATGCCACATGAAATATTAACCGTGATTGTACTCAGGTTTGGAGGAAAGAAACTTTTCTTATCCATAACGCCCAGAGGGGACAACCTATACCAAAGTAAAGTTCCCTCAGAATTTTGAGACACCACATGGCAACCCATTGCCTGACCCTTCCGTTCCTAACCCACTCTGAACGTCATCCTGTAGCATCTGCCCATAGTAGGTGTCTTAGTCTTGTTTGCAACATAAAGAATTATTAGCAGAGCTGTGCAGAATCTCAGATCATGACTCGGATATGGTGAGGTACCTATCTCTTGGTAATTCATCTGTTAAAGTTTTCTCATTCTGAATCAAGCGATACAGTGATGTTTTTACTGACGCACAGATTGCTGTTTCTTGATATGATGATAAAAGAACAAGAGGCACTGTGAGGAGCAGTGCTGCTGTTGGTCACAGTGGTTTAATTTTGGAATGGGATGCATGCAGGTCTAACATTGAATTTAGTTTCAACTTGATCATTGCGCAAGGAATGAGGAAAAAAAACCTCAGTCAAGTTGTCCGGTTGTAGGGCCTTCCATATGCACAATGACTTCTAGCCAGCAGTTTGGCATTCAAATAATTACATTAACCCCGGAGGTAGTTCTTGAACGTGCAGTTATTTTATTTTAACTTAATACATTTTTTGTAATTACACATTTCTATTGATATTCTTTTGGATGAGTAACAATTTATGTTTTAAAGGAAGACAAGCCATCCTGTAACAGATTTTCTTTTTTCACTACTTTTTGCCACAAAGTTAATTACATCCATCTACAGTGCATCGTCCATCCCTGGTCT